GGAAGAGGAAGGCAGAGAGTAGTCACCAGGGAGACGCTATGTAGCCACTAAAGGAGCAACATGTCAGAGCATTACGGGTAAGCCTCAGTGTCATCTCATGGCAATACACAGTTTAATAGAAATGGTATAATAATTAAGAGAGAGGTAGCCAATAGAAGCCTGAGCCATTGGCTAAACAGTTAATTAATATAAGCTTCTGTGTGTTTATTTGGAACTAAATGGCTGTGGGACCAGGTGGGACAGAAACTCTTGTCTACAGAATTGTTCTCTCCTAGTCCTTTATATTCTCCGGTATTCTTCCCCAAGGAAAGCAGGCAGCGTTTAGAATAACACCATTTTTTGGGCTTGTTTTCTTCTAAGACCCTCAGTACAGCCCCTAGCGACTGGGCCTTGGGTACCAGTGCTCTTTCATTCTGATCACCACAGCAGTCTCTGGGCCGCCTCAGTGCCTGGTTATGGGCACTGAGTGAGTTTGGGCCTCGAAGAGAAGCCTCTTTGATGTAGAACCAGAGGATCTGTTTTACCAAAGAATGTTGCTTTGGAGTGTCTAGTCTATGGGTCACAGTGGTATGTATGCCCCCTTCGATGACCTTTTTTTTACTACTCCCCCATGCACTCCACCTCTACCCCAGTATAGTTTGTATGCTATCCCCAATGTGTGTGCATGTGTAAAACATGTAAAGAAGTTTGTGTATTTACTAATCCATTGCTTTTCATGTCAGCACATGGAAAGTGTTTCAGGACCAGGAAGGATAATGGAAAGGTCTGCGTAAAGCCAGAGGACTTGGGTTCTACATACCCATTGCTTTTTAGACATAGGTCAGAGCCTGGCAGTGAAATCAGAAGAGAACTGACATTAAAATAAATGAAGATAGTAAAATACATCACTTATTATTGAAAGAATTATGAGTGTGTTTTTGTATCCTTGTAGTATGTAGTATATTTATGTGTAACTGCCAAATTTTGAAAATAATTTGTCCTAGCCAAATACTAATTGTTAATGTCCAGACTTCTCCAGGTTCATCATTCTAAATGGGGGAGAGCTCACAAGCTGGCTCAGTAGGTGAAAGTGCTTGTTGTGCTAGCTTGGTGACCCAAGTTCTGTCCATCTCCAGAACCCACATAGAGGTGGAAGGAGAGAGCTGTCTACAGAGTGGTCTTCTGACATCCATACACATCCACAAAGTGACAGCAGCAACCACCACCACCACCACCACAATAATAATAATAGCAACAATAACATAATTTTTAAGAGGGGGAAATTCCTGAGTAAAAATTTGGGCTTAATAATTGCAAAGTTCGAGACCGACTACAGAGATGATGACATTTTGGGTCTTATGCTTACATCCCTGTGTTTCCGTGCGTGTGTAGGGTTTCCAGAACTTAGTGACAACTTTGTGTTCTTCCCTGTGGGCAGAATGGTACCAAATTATACTGGTAACAGTATAGAGACATTGGGCTTGATCCCTGGTAGCTATGACAGTCTCTGCCAAGTCATGTAACTCTTTTGCGGCCGTTTGCTCATTCATAAAATGGAGCTCATACTGCATGTGTGTGTGAGGTTGCCATGGATACAGTGTCCAGCACCTCACTCATCTCCGCAAGTCAGTTCCACACTACGTTTGCCTCTTTGTGTCAGAGTTGCTCATATTAGCTAATTGTAGAAGCTTCCCTGGGGATCATAAGAAACTCTGGCCACTCACCAGGCTTTGGATCAGTTTCAGTCAGAATGTAATAGATATGAGATGCACTGTGTTTTAATCCCAGTAGTGGCCACAATAGGAAACCTGTTTGCTTTGCTCATGCGTTGGTTTAAATGGGGACAAGTAGTTTAGTTTTAAAAACGTGACAATGTCTGCCCTGCCTGTGGTCCTCTGAAATTATCCTTTTTTCCTAGCCTTGTGTCCCCTTACCGATTTAGAGAGGCCTTTCTTGACCATGTAGTTGGGGTGACTTCTGATTTATCTGTTCAACTTTCTCTTTTCCCTCTGGTGTTTGGAAACAGGGTCATGTAGGCTGGCCTTGTGCTCCTCATTCTGCTTCAGCCTACCAGGTGCTGGGATTGCAAGCCTGCACCATAGCCTGGATAAAGATGGGGATCCGAAAGTCGTTTCTAGCTACATATAGCAAGTTTGAGACCGGGAAGAAAGGGAAGAATAGGTTTCAGGGGAGGGGAGAAAGCTTGTAGCATTAGTTACTGCTTACTTAGTTCTGGATTTTATTTTCTGTTTCCCTTTGAAGAGCAGGGAATTTGCTTGTATTGTGTTTTTTCATGCACCTAAATCAATGTCTGAGAATACTTTGAATGATTGAATGTAAATCTGATAGGTAATGCTTTTCGTAGTTTCTGTTGTAGTGTTTTTTAATTTTATTTTCTGTGTACTTTCACATTGTATGAGTAGCTATGATCATGCGTTAGTAGCATTCTTAATCTCAAGATAATTTTTTAAATTGTATTTTATGCCTCTAAGTTGAAATGTCTTATTGAGAATATGCTATGTTTAGTTGGAGACTTTAATCAGTGGCATATAAGATGTGAGTGTCTTTAAATCTGCAGTGTCTTAGGTTTGATGAAGTGTAGTGTGGATTTGAGATGGTGATGGATAGTAATGTTCCCTTCTTTTTCCCACTTGACTATAGAGTGTTCCTATAACTTTCTTTAGGTCTGTCTCATTCTCGGTATTTGTTTAAGGATGATGCATCATAGCTTAGGTAAATAGTACTATGTTGAATATTCGGTCCATATTCTTATGTACTGAATCAAATTTATTATTACTACACCTGTTTATTTGTGTGGATGGGTAGACCTGTGCACGAAAGTCACAAGTCAGCTCCTTTGGGCCCTGAGATGGAAGTCAGTTTGTTAGGCTTGTTGGCAAGTGTCTTTACCCATGGTGCCATCGCATTGGTTCAGAGTTTCTTTTGACTGGATATCGCATTGGTGGTTATACTGTTTTCTGTAAAGTACCTGTTGCCCTACACTGTCACACATACTACATCTTAGGCATTTCCTTTTATTTTTTTATTTTTGTCAATCTGATAAAAGTATCTTAGTGTTTTAATGGCTTTAATTATAAATGAGGTTGGGCTTTTCATGTCATTTTAATTCTGTGATTTACTTTTTACATTTAGTGTGGGGGTGCGTACATGCTTGTAGACGCCTTGCTTATCAAGGTGTGCTTGTGGAAATCAGAGGAGTTTGGGGGAGTCAGTCCTCCTTCCTTGTGCAACCTGGGGTTTTGAACTCAGGACACCCAGTTTGGCAGCAAGTACCTTTACCCACTGAGCCACCTCTTTGGTATATTATATTCTTCATAAGGTGGTAGACTTTTTGTTTTCCTTAAGAAGCCCATGCCTTGTGTGGGCTAGGCAAGCACTGTGTCCTGCGTTGTGGCACTCGTCTTAAAAGAGGGAGTGAAGAGAAGGGACAGCTCTAGAGGACTGGTCACTTAGTTGAGAACTTCAAAATTTGAAGCCATCCAATGTCTCCTTCACTGTTGGGAGTACCCTAGGACTCAGCAGTGCTGCTCCTGGTGACAGGGAGCAGAGACTGAGGAATAGGGAGAAGGGTTACAGTAGCATCAATTGGTGAGTTGAAGATAGCTTAATCATGCTGTGTTTGTCTTTAAATAGTTCCCTTCCAAACCTTGGTGTTGTTCAGCGTGTTTGTTAGTGTTACAACAATAGTGAAACAGAGCACCATTCAGGGACTTGGAAGAGCTCAATATTGGACCGAGAGATTAGACCTATGATCATTAAATTAATAGGGTTTTTTTTTTTTTTTTTTTTTTGGACATTGTTAAAAATGTTCTCGTTTATCTTGTACATTTGGTACAATGTTAGTTTAGATCATGTTAGTTTAGAGATGGCTGTCAGAGGGCCTCTGCCTTTTAGGTTTCACTGCGGACAATGGAGGGCATGGATTTCAGTCCTTTGGTAAAAATAAAGCTAAGAAATATATAGACTATGACAAACATGGAGGATGGATTTTTGCTGCTGTTACTGTTTCTGTTTCTGTCTAACATAGGAAGATGGAAGAGAGGTGCTAAGATTTGGAAGACGATTAAGAGGTAGCTGAACTTGTTAAGTAGTAAGGAACACAACAGTGCAGGGTATACATGGTAGTGCTTTCTCCAAATACTATGTTTTAGGCAGGCAATGACTTAGGTTGAGGTTGGAGAGAACAAAAACTCGGTAATAGCTGGATGTGGTGACACGTGCCTGTCATTCCAGTGCTTAGGAGTCTTGGGTAGAGGGATGGCAAGTTCAGGGCCAACCTGAGTGAGGTACATAGTGTGAGATCCTGTCTCAAAAACAAAACAATTAAAAACAAAAACCTACCGGGTAATTAAAGGTCTTACACACTCTACATTAAACTTTATATATTAAAGATAAAGGGGAATCATTTCAAGTAACAACTGGTCAAATTAGCATTTTGCAATGCGTAAGGATTGGTGTAGAGGGGAAATCTGGAAGCAGGGGAACATGTTGAGAAACATTTGGGAATAATCCAGGAAAGGAAATTAGCCTTAGCTCAGGGGTTACATGTGTTTTATTGAGAAAACAGTGGTCATGTGTTTTTTAAGTGTAATAGGCTTCTAGTCTCCAGCATCCCATTGAGATTCAGTTTCATGCAGTTGGGTTTATTATTTTGCAGCAGTAACTTGTCAATTGTGCTGTTGTTTTTACTTGTGCTGGTCATGATGGCACACACTTGCAATCTGTGCTTGGGAGGTAGAGGCAGGCTGTAATGGAGGCCACATTCCTCTACAGCCTTTGTAATAGTCATGTGACTAGGTTGTGCTTTGTGGAGGAGTAGAGGTTTGGATTACTGTAAACACTCAAGATGTAGTGTGCTTAGGAACTATTTTAGAAGGGAAGAATATTGGAGTATTTGCCTTTGGAAAAAGCGATGTCTTAGTAGATTAAATTGTGTTATTTTCTCTTATAGGAATTTATAATTTCTGTGTGTAATTTCTTTTTCTTTCTTTTTTCTAAAGGTTATTAGCAAAAAATAAAAAATAAAAAAAAAAATGGTGGATCGCCTAGCAAACAGTGAAGCAAATACTAGACGAATAAGTATAGTGGAGAACTGTTTTGGAGCAGCTGGTCAACCCTTAACCATCCCTGGACGTGTTCTTATTGGAGAGGGAGTATTGACTAAACTGTGCAGAAAGAAGCCGAAAGCAAGGCAGTTTTTCCTGTTTAATGATATTCTTGTGTACGGCAACATTGTCATCCAGAAGAAAAAATACAACAAACAACACATTATTCCCTTGGAAAATGTCACCATTGATTCCATTAAAGATGAGGGAGAATTGCGGAACGGATGGCTTATTAAGACACCAACTAAATCATTTGCAGTGTATGCTGCCACTGCCACCGAGAAGTCCGAGTGGATGAACCACATAAATAAGTGCGTCACCGATTTACTCTCCAAAAGCGGGAAGACACCGAGTAGTGAGCATGCTGCTGTCTGGGTCCCTGACTCTGAGGCCACCGTGTGTATGCGCTGTCAGAAGGCTAAGTTCACGCCCGTTAATCGGCGGCACCATTGCCGCAAATGTGGCTTTGTGGTTTGTGGTCCCTGCTCTGAGAAGAGATTTCTTCTTCCCAGCCAGTCTTCTAAGCCTGTGAGGATATGTGACTTCTGCTATGACCTGCTTTCCACTGGGGACATGGCTGCGTGTCAGCCGACCAGATCAGACTCTTACAGCCAGTCATTGAAGTCCCCTTTAAATGACGTATCTGATGATGACGACGACGATGATAGCAGTGACTAAGGACATGTTTTGAAATATTTAATTGAGTGTGACTACCTGAGAATCAGCTTTGGGGGAAGTGTAAAGTTCCTGGCTCTCTCAATCTTGCTCTAGCCATGGCTTCACCTGAGGAAGCTTGACCTTTGTGCCTCTGTATCCTATAGAAAGTACCCCCTCGCTCTCTGCTCCTCTCTGCACTCTCACAGGGACAAATGTATGTGATAAAGTCTTGCCTCTGTTCTCCTTAGTTCTAGACTAGTTTCTGGTAAGTTGGAAAAGGTGTTTATTTAACAGATCTTGTATGACATTTTTTCCACTGATGAGGAAAAACTAGAAGCACAGAATGATGGGAACAAGAGTACAAAGTGATTAATAATGTGAGTAGCTTTTCCTCAAGCATTCAGTGTAATGGCTAAGACATCAGTGACAGACATGGTTAGAAATTCTTTACTTTTTCTGAATGCCAAGTGGTGCCTTATTGTGGCAACGTTGTCACACGAAACACAAGACCCTACCTTCATATTTCTTTGATTCAAAACACACTGGTGCTCTTACAGGTGGTAAATGACTGTGTGATGGATGTAGTTAATATTTATTTGACAGCACAAGGAACTAAATTTAGAGGTATCTTCACTCTTAAATGAATACATATTTTTCATAAAATAGTTGTGATTATATTTTTACATCTTCTAGGCACCAAATCTTAATGATCACATACAGTTTAAAATTAACCAGTTGCCACTCTCAGGATTTGATTTGAAATTTGTCACACAGAAGTTGCGTAGTCCTTTAGCTCCTACTTTCCTAAGACATTTTTACATACAAATTTACTTGCTTTACATTATTTCTAAAAGGAAAATTTTAATGAAACCCTCATTTTTGAGACAGGGTTTCTCTGTGTAGCCCTGGCTGCCCTAGAACTTGCTTTGTAGACCAATCTAGCCTCAAACTCAGAGAGCTCCACCTGCCTCTGCCTTCTGAATGCTGGGCTTAAAGGTTTCCACCACCTAGCAAAATTAACATTTCTTATCTCATAATAAACCATTGAGTCTTACAGGATAAGGACCAGGAAGAGATTGAAGTTTGACTAGACTCCCAGTCTACAAACACTGTCAATTTTATTGTGAAATTATCTTGATTTACAGGTAGTGTTGTATTTATGGAGTTTGTGATGCCCCAAACAATTTCTATTTTTAAAACAATTGTATGTTTAATCTGTTTCTGAAATCATTTTGCAATATATGGAAATAGAGCAGTTGATGCTTCTAAATTGTGATTATCAGTGAAATTGCTTTGAGAAGTGGTAGTTTTTCCTCTTTGTGTTTGGAGGCAGCCATAAGTTAGGCCCAATCCCTGCATAGCGCTGGACCTGCACTGTGCAAGCTCTAGTCATCCGTGTGCTGCAGTAACTAGGGGTTTAAATGTGGGAAGCCTGCATCATGGTGCAGATGTTTGACACAGTAACTCATGGCTGGAAGCTTCGTGCTAGCTCCCAGTGTGGTCACAGTACAATCTTACATTGCTATTCGTTTTCAGGATCACCTGCACCATATAGGTCTCCCTGTAGGAAATGTGAAGAAAAGCACAATAGAACTAGGACTTGGGGTTTGGTTTTGGTTTTTGTTGGTTTTACTATCAGATGGATTTTTGTTTGTTTCAAAGCAACAATACATGTAGTCATAAGAATGTGTGAAAAGGACCATAAAATCAGAGAAATTTGGATGGAAACTGCTGTACACAGGAGTTGAGCAAATTCAGGAACCAAGGGGAAATGTCCTGAGGTAACACTTGCATTGTCAACCTCTATTGATTGTTTTTACAATAAAAATATTTTGCAGCTTACTTCCTGGTTTTCTTTGCTAAGTGTAAAGTATTATGTAATTGGACTTTGGGCTGCTAGCTCACAAATGGCATGGAGACTTCTTATTAATTATGAAAGCTTGGCCTATAGCTTAGACTTGTTCCTAACTAGCTCTTATAACTTGAACTAATCTATTTATATTGACGTTCCCTCACACGGCATTACCTCTCTTCATCTTGTACCTCCTGTTTTCTCTCCGTGTCTCCTAGCTTCTCCTGCATTCCTGGATTCCATCTCTTCTTCCTCTCTTTCCCTGGAAATCCCACCTGTACCTTCTGCCTAGCTATTAGCTGTTCAGCTTTTATTACACCAATCACAGCAAATACATGGTGTACAAATATCCCACAACATTTCCCCCTTTTGTCTAAATAAAGAGAAAAGGTTTTAACTCTAACATAGTAAAAAATAAGAAGAATTATCAGGTCAGAATTACATTCACAATGTCCAGTCCATTTGTATTTGGCAAATTTGAAGAAATTGTTTTCTATTCTAACTTCATGAGTTCAAAGATTTATACCTAAATCACTTTTAATAACTTGCATTACCATTATGAAAGATATCTTTTTAAGCCTTACAACCTTTATATCTCTTATGTAAGTTTTTTTTCTGAATTTGTTTAACAAGGAAAACTATATATTATTGAGTTTTTAATCCCCATCAGCGACCTTAGAAGGATATATTACCCGAGTATACAGGAAGTGCAGAGGTAGAGATAGAAACAGCTGGTTGCCTGGGCAGTCACCCAAGGTTTCTGTTTTCTGGGGATGATGGCATCTTTAGAGGACTCTGAGAAAACTGGGATAACTGTCAAGTCCTGGGACAGCCAGCTGTATCATTTGTTGTCCAGTTTTTCTGTAATGCTAAATGCAGGGCTTATCTGAAGTCTTGGCTGGAGTACTCTGTGAGGCTGGACCCTCTCAGCTTTGAAGTTGTTCTGGATGCAGAGTTTTGAGGAAATTGCATTAGAGAATTCTGAGAGGCTGGATCACCTGGGTTGTTTGTCTTTAAAGGTGTCTTTTTTTTTTTTCTCTGAAAACACAAACTTTTAAAGATAACATATATATCCACATTAACACAAGTATGTACACAGTCAGCTAAAGATTTCTATGTTTGAAGCAGGTAAAAGGCATCTGTTTATAAGTCTGTGTAGACTTTATAACCAAAGTTCTACCCACGCCATATGAAAGGGTGACATAATAGTAAGTCATGAGGGTTCTGTAGCCAGCAAGATTTATGTCTCATTTCAGTCTCAGAGCTGTTCCCCAGGCTGAGGGATCATCATACATGTTGTATTTTGTCTTGGCTTTTCTCCTGCATGTCTAGCCAAGATTTCAGGAGGTCTTCCCCAGTCAAATCTGGTCTTTATTAATTTTGAAGAGAACCATAACTTTTTGTTTCCTGTGGAAACAAACTTGTAACCTCTCCCCCAATGCAACATGTTTTCTCACTTCCATTTTGAAGTTCAGACATTTCTTAAGATAGATAGGTTGGTTTAATTTGGCAGTTTCCATAATCCAATATCTCAGGAGCTTTTTTTTTTTTTGGTCCATCAGCATTCAAATAATTAAAATTAACAAAGCATTATAAAAGGTTCAAATTCTTTGTGTTATGTTTTCTATTTATCTTTTATCTTGGGTCTAGTGAACTCATTTAAACCCTGCCTTCAATATTCAGTAGCTATGAATGCCAAGTATGTTATAGGCACTAGTGGAGGGCATTAAGCAGAAGTTTTTGTAACTTTTCCTGAGATATGGTCTCTGTTAGCCAGAGCTAGCCTCAAACTCACTTTGGAATAAGTAACTCTCACTGTGTTGCTGAGAACACCCTTGGACTCTGAATTTGTCTGTCTCCATATCCTAAGTGCTAGGACTGTGAGATGTGTTCACACCCTGTTTATGAGTACTAGCACTTCCAGGTGAGCACTCCACCAACTTGAGCCACACCCCAGCCCTTGCGGGCACTTTAGGAGGTGGCTAACACAGGAATTGGCAGAATTGCTTGTCTTGATAATTCTTATCTTTTCTAAGGATAGACAGAACAGGGGAGATTTGTTGGTACTCTCATTTATGCTACTCAATTTTATTAAGTAGTCCACATTAAAATTATAGTTGGAAAGCTTTGGTGATAGCTAATATATTTATCAGGGAAAAAAAAGAGTAAGTACCACTTTACCAGGTATTGTTTAAGCATGCTCTTATAAATTTGTTCGGAGAAATTGTAGTTTTGCGCCTTTATTAACTTAGCAATTTTAAAAGCTTTATTTGAACCATACTCCATTTTTGAACCTACAGTTCACCTGTTTGGTTTGTTCAGTTCTGTGATTCATATTCATTAAAGCTGTCACTACTGTTTTTAGAATATCATTATCATGCCCTGCCCGTGACTCACTCCCTAGTTACTCCACACTTCCCTGGCCTTAGGCAACCATTTTCTGTCTCTGTTTATTTTTGCCTTTTGGGAGAGGGGGCTGTTTCACAGTGAAATTATACACTATATAGCCTTTAGTGACCATTTAAAGTCATATACTATGTAGCCTTTAGTGACCATTTAAAATCATATACTATGTAGCCTTTAGTGACCATTTAAAATCATACACTATGTAGCCTTTAGTGACCATTTAAAGTCATATACTATGTAGCCTTTAGTGACCATTTAAAATCATACACTATGTAGCATTAGTGACCATTTAAAATCATACACTATGTAGCCTTTAGTGACCATTTAAAGTCATACACTATGTAGCCTTTAGTGACCATTTAAAACCATACACTATGTAGCCTTTAGTGACCATTTAAAATCATACACTATGTAGCCTTTAGTGACCATTTAAAATCATATACTATGTAGCCTTTAGTGACCATTTAAAATCATATACTATGTAGCCTTTAGTGACCATTTAAAGTCATATACTATGTAGCCTTTAGTGACCATTTAAAATCATATACTATGTAGCATTAGGGACCCATTTAAAATCATATACTATGTAGCCTTTAGTGACCATTTAAAATCATATACTATGTAGCCTTTAGTGACCATTTAAAGTCATATACTATGTAGCCTTTAGTGACCATTTAAAATCATATACTATGTAGCATTAGGGACCCATTTAAAATCATATACTATGTAGCCTTTAGTGACCATTTAAAATCATATACTATGTAGCCTTTAGTGACCATTTAAAGTCATATACTATGTAGCCTTTAGTGACCATTTAAAATCATATACTATGTAGCATTAGGGACCCATTTAAAATCATATACTATGTAGCCTTTAGTGACCATTTAAAATCATATACTATGTAGCCTTTAGTGACCATTTAAAATCATATATTATGTAGCCTTTAGTGACCATTTAAAATCATATATTATGTAGCCTTTAGGGACCATTTAAAATCATATACTATGTAGCCTTTAGGGACCCATTTAGTTCCCTGACATGTTTTCATGGTTTGTTTATATAACATTTCATGAGCATTTAACATTTTTATTACCAAATAATTTTTAAAATTTATTTGGTGTGTGTGTGTGTGTGTGTGTGTGTGTGCTCACACATACATGTGGAGGTCAGAGGCAACCCCTGTGAGTTGATTCTCTCCTTCCACTTATGTGAATCCCTGGGATCGAACTTAGGTTGTCAGCCTTGACAGTAGATGCCTTTACCATCTATTTTAATACTTTTTGTCTTCCTCTACTTTTAGTTTTTTTTCCCTGCCACCTTCCCTCCCTCCCTCCCTCCCTTCCTTCCTTTTGTTTTTTGAAACAGGGTTTCTCTGTATTGCTTTGGAGCCTGTCCTGGGACTCTCTCTGTAGACCAGGCTGGACTCAAAGGTCCCCCTGTAGTGAGATATTCACTCTGTCTGCACCTGTTGCACTGACCACGTCCATTGGGGGTGGGGACAGGTGTGGATGTGACCTGGGGGAATTAGGTCTGAGTCAGGTACCCTGGAGAAGCTCTCTTGCTGGCAGGACAGAGACAGAGAGCATTCAGTGGCATTCTTGGACCATAACTTGCTGGTGTTCATCTGTCTCTGTTGTAAGTTATTTCTCCCTGAATAAACATCTATTCAGTCTGTTTTTCCCAATCCTTATCATTCCACAATATCGACCTGCTTCTGGCTCCCAAGTGCTGGGATTAAAGACATGCACCACCACCACCCGGCTTACTTTTTCTAAAGGTAGGTGTGTGTGTGTGTGTGTGTGTGTGTGTGTGTGTGTGATTTGTATGCAAGTGTGTAAGGCCAGGAAAGAGCATTGACACTCCTGGAACTGGAGTTATAGTCAATTATAAGTTTCCAGGTAGAAGGTGCTGGGATTGAACTTGAATCCTCTGGAACCCAAGCAAGCCCTCTTAACTGCTAAGCCATCACTCCAGCCCATACCTTTAATGTTCTTTCCCATAGTGCTTTCCATAATGGCTGTTCTAATTGACATTCCTACCCAGCGTGCCAGAGTTCCCTTTCCCCACACCTTTACCAGCCCTTGTTACTTTTCATCTTGATAATAGCCATGTTGACACATGTGAGCCTGTCCTGCGTCTGGTTCCTGATGATTAAAATGACAGTGAACATTTTAAAAATATACCTATTGATGTTTTGTATGTCTCTTGAGAAGTCTAAGAGCTGGGTGTGGTCATGCATGTCTGTAATCCCAGCACTTGGAAATCTGAGGCAGGAGGATCACAAATTCTAGTCTAGCTTAGCCATGCTAAATTAGCAAGACTCCTGCATCAGAAAAATGAAGGGAAATGTGTGTGGGGGGAGGTAGAGAAAATATTTGTACATTGTGTTTGATAAGGATCTTATAACCAGATTACAGGATATGTAAGAAATATATACACTTATAACACTTATGTCCCAGAACTCAGGAGCCAGGATGCAGTCCCAGCGGTCAGCATGTTGAGTTGGAAGCCAGCCAAGCTTGTCTCAAATAAAACACCAGAATACCCGATTTTAAAATAGGTAAAGGATATAGCCCAGGCTAAC